AAAAAAACACATCTCTAATAACAATACCAAATTCCTACCAATATCAGGTATAACATCTTGTGTTTCAAATCCCCAATAATGGCTCCCAAGACGTCCAAATCCACATTGAACCTACAGTATAAGACAAAGAATAGATGATTGGGATTCCTGTTTATTCAAATCTACACAGGAATCCYAATCAATTACCTCATCAGAAATGCAGACACCACCTCTGTCCCTAATTAGCTTGTATGCTTTCTTTAAAAATCCTTTGGGAAGATRAACACTTCCTCCCATTCCCTGAAAGTCAATGCCCAGATGAATTAGAAAATGTGAGTTGAAGAAAGAAAGAATGGAAGTGAGAAATGAAAAAAAAAGTACCTGGATAGTCTCAGCAATAAAGCCAGCCACTTTCTTGCCTGTACTATGAATCAACATGTCTTCCAATTGATCAGCATAGTTATCTGATGCTTGACACACACCTGAGGAAAATAATTGTACTTTTACCTGGGAACGAACGTCCTAACAGCTGCAGGGGGGAGTGACCTGGGAACGAACGTCCTAAYGGCTGCGAGAGGAGRCTATTTTCGTCAAAGTAAGTACTTGTAAGTACTTATAATTTTCGTCAAGACTCGTTGGTACCGGTTTGGGSTTAACTGGTCTTGGGGTTGGCATTAGGGCTTTTGGCTAACTGGCACTAGGGGTTAGAGCTATTAGGGTTAGTGCTATGGTCACTAACCCTAATTAACAATTAGACCTCGAGGTCGAGTGGACTACGAGCTAATAGCCCATGAGGCCGAGTCCGCGAGGCCGAATGGGCTATTAGCTCGTAGTCCACGAGGCCGAGAGGTCTAATTGTTTTAGTATAAACATACTAATCGGTCAAATAATGAAAACAAATTGAAATATCCTTAAAATAATTCATAATTTATAATTTATTTATTTTGATTTTCCCGCGAGTGGTCTATCACAAATTAGACCATTAGTAGAGTAGCCAATCACAGCGCAGTATGAGTGATAGACCATTAGTATGTTTATACTAA